CTTATTATCGTATATTGTATCATGGGTGGAGTGTTTTAATTTTTGTCCCTTGTCTGTTGTAAATAGTGCTAATGAATTATAGCAAAATGCAATCTGGGGATTGGGGCGGAGGTAGCTAGTCAGCGGCTTCCTCTTCTTTTGTTCCAGGGCTTTAGCCAAAATCACTAGATGAGACCAAGGAAGCTCCTTCTGGAAACAGCATAAAAAGTAAAGAAACTGAATAGTGGGGAATATTTCTTCCTCCCCTCTAAGAGCATTGAGCTGCTTTACTCCTGCACACTGGTCACTCATTGACTATGGCAAAGGGTGTGGAACTGCATATACAAACAAGGCATGAGCTATCATGAGACTTCACAACAGTCAGAATTTCCATTTGACTTGAAAGCAGAGGCTTTTCAATAGTGATGGATTCAGCTGCCATTCCTAGACTAAAGGGAATGTCTGCCCTGTGTTAAATGTAAGCTTGTAGGGGCAGAGACCCATCCTCATTTAAAATGCCATGCACAAGAATGGGCCTACGCATCTGAATTATTGAATGGGTAAAACAATATAAAGCCCATTAATCACAATTTGCACATCCCTACAATTAGCACTCTCAAACCATGGGTGTATTGTTTGAAACTTTAAGTAAAATTTCCATCAGAATAAAGCCCAAAGGTGAATGAGGCTGTTCTAACAAACTCTGTGAGCATAAATCCTGCATTTCCTAGGAAACCACACTTGGAGATCTCTCAAACAGAGGTGTATATATAGAGACAGATATAGAAACAACAGCAACTATATCTTTGCCCCCAAATTTAACACAGTAAAAAGAAGTGCCACAATCCATTGGTACAATCAGGGTTTCTGTCAATGAAATAAACAGTTAATTACAAACATCTGCTTTAGCCTACATTCTAATTACCTAATCTAGCCATCTGCAATTTTAATGATTTCCCCTGATTTCCTTTCTTTGCAGTGTGATTAATTGGAAGTTTTTTTTCCTTTTTCTTTTTTTCCAGCAAATACCTCCCTGCTCCTTTTGCAAACATGCTCCACTGTCTCCTAGCAAGAAAGCCTTGGGATTTCCGTGGCTTACCGGTATGTGGAACCTCCTGGCAGGCCCAGCTGTCAGGGATTCGGTGCTCAGAGCTTCCTGGGGAGGTTCAGCTCCCCTGAGGTTGATGGGTAAACATGTAAATCCCTAGGCAGTTGGGACCTTTCCTTGAATTGCGCTTTGCTAAAGTTTATTGACACCAAATGTCATAAGGAAAACAATGAACAATTCCCTGTGTGGATTTAAAAGTCCTTCCACCATGGATAATGAGTGGTTCCCACAAACCAAGACAAATGTTGCTTTTGTGTTGCTAGGAAAATACTGTTCCGGTGCATATGACACCCTGTGAATCAGCCACTTTATGTTGTGATGTCTCTGGATGACTGCAGCAACAGCTGTCTGAATGCTACCTACAAAAACTCATGGAGGGCCCTTCTAGTCTCAGAGTTGCCTCCTGCTATCTCACAAAATGTCAGGAACTGGGCAGAGGAAGAATGGTGAAGACCGTCTCCCCAGCCTGACCCTTCCAGAGAAGAGGAAGACAGTTCAGAATTACAACAGGGGTTTGAGGGAGGTCACAGCTTAGAGGCAGATTAGGGGGAAAGCTGGGAAATAATGGGAGAGGAGGAGGAGGTGGAAGTGGAAGAAGAAGCACCAGTGAGGCATAGTGTCTTTAGAAAGCATTCCAGACACACACAGCCTCTCCCAGAACCTGGCGAGCCTTGAAAGTAGGAGAGCAAAGAGATCAAAGGCAAAGGGCACTTGTCAGCACCTGTAGGGCTGACACATGAGGAAGTGGGAGAGACAGAGGGGGTGGAGATTCACTCGGGACAATGCCATTATCCAAGAGGCTGGGTTCCAAAGCCTCTCTCTGTAATTAATGAATAAAAAGCAGACGGTAAGAGACATTCCTTGTCTTTGTGCTTTCCTGGGCAACCGGCCATGGGAGTTGCTTGCATCCACCTGACGCACCCATTTTCTGGCAGTGCCATGTCTGGCCTCATCTCCCAGCAAGGAGTACTTAGTGCAGGGGTCAGCAAACGTTTTCAGCAGGGGGCCGGCCCACTGTCCCTCAGACCTTGTGGGGGGCCGGACTATATTTTGAAGGAAAAAAATGAACGAATTCCTACGCCCCACAAATAACCCAGAGATGCATTTTAAATAAAAGCGCACATTCTACTCATGTAAAAACACGCTGATTCCTGGACCGTCCATGGGCCGGATTTAGAAGGCGATTGGGCTGGATCCAGCCCCCAGGCTCTAGTTTGCCTACCCATGACTTAGTGACTCCTGCAACTTTTCTTCAATGCAACTCTTTCTGCTGTCAGAAGAGACCAGGTGCTGCTGGAGGCTGAGGATGCTAATAAGCAGTATTACTGAAAGTGCAGGCAGGGGGCTTTCTTCACATGCCTTAGCTATCGGTTCTGACAGCTGCTGCTACAGTCACCCAGGCTTCAGAACATGGGTTGACAGCTTCCCGGGCTGCTGTGCAAGAAGGACCACTGAGCAGCGGCACCACGCTTCCTTTAGCAACGAAAAGGAAAGAAGCAGGAGCAATTTACCGGAGAGAAGTGGCCACCACTCCATGCCATACAGAACGTCTCTTCCCGAGAAATCTAAACTAGTTTGACCGTCATGGCTTCATCAGAGGATTGATTTGCAAGGGAAGGAGATCTCCCAACAGGACCAAAACAAGAGTTCCTTCAGGACTAATCAAAAGCTGGTTTCTACATGTCACACCAGCCTTTCTCAGCTTCATGCCCTCCAGATGTTTTGGTCAATGGTCAGGGATAATAAATGGGGGCTGTAGATCTGGAGGGTGCCAGGTTGCAGAATCCCTGTGTTACATTGGCCAAGGCCAGCAACTTGCAACAGGAGAGCAAGTGCGAGACCATGGGAGATGGCATTTAATCCTTTTTTCCAACAGGTATTATTCTTCCCCTGCCCCAAGCTGTCCCCACCCACCACCCCGGGTTTCAGATGTGTATCTGAGGACACTTATGCATCTGGGGGAGAGAAGCAGCTGGGAGGCAATCTGGAGATGGGAACTAGCTTGTGGGGAAAGGTTTTTGTACCCCTTCCCCTCCCAACACTTCTTCACTGCGCTAAATGCCTCCTCAAAGCTACCTTGCTTCTAAAAATGGTGTTGGTACCCTGTAATGCACACGTTGCCATGCAACATGGGGTCTTGAGTCTCTTTGAGGGAAAGCTACCAAATGGGAGAGAAGGATTGAGCATTATTTTCAACGAGTTTCACGCAGGTGAATAATGCACAGTAGAATAAGAACTCAAAACAAAAGCAAAATATAAAAGCACCGTAAATGCAGGCCGAGGGAAAGGGAGAGGGGTGAAATCAGTTTTTATTTCTGCCTACCATTAACATTTCCTGCTTTATTAGGAAGCATTATCCATAATGCATCTCAGCTATCACCTGGGGCAGTTAGCAATGGAGGGATCACATCAGGTATAAAGTAAGACTGGGCAATGAATTAGCTGCAGCATCTCCCTGGGATGGAGGAAGGGTGGACAGCGAGGGAGGCTGTGTGTGTGTGTGTGTGTGTGTGTGTGTGTGTGAGAGAGAGAGAGAGAGAGAGAGAGAGAGCATATGTAAGCCTGTAAGCTCACAGCTGAATAAACAGCAGGTTCAAATATAAGCAAGCAGCAGTTTGTAGCAAGCTTCAGCATCTGCTAGATGTCAACCATCCCCAGTATTGTAGGGCAGAGGATGGGTGATGCAATCAAAACAGAGAGCCTAGTTTGCTTCTTTAAGGTCACTTTGACCTTTTACATGAAGAAGGAAGATAGCTGCTACAAGACACCCAATGCTCTGTCTATTTACATGTGAACATTTGCAGTTCTGCTGCATAGGAGGAAGGACCCTAGTAGTTTCTGTACCCTTTGTGAACATCTCCTAAAAGGAAGAGGATCATTTCTAGACAAATGATGCTGGATTAAATGGGCCACTAGCCTGATCCAGCAGGCTCTTACTGTGTTTGTGGCAATATTGGGAATGGTATTCTAGCAAACATTCTCTCTAGGATGCATTGAAAGGTTTGAATGGATTTAAGGAGATCATACTCTGATTATAATTAATACCCATAGGCAGGGAGTTTGAGAGGAGGAGAATGCAACCTTAAATGGGGCACATATTCCTAGTTACAATGACTCATTTGTGAAGAAAATGAATTTTGCACATGCAGAAACATCTTGAGCTGGTTATCACATAGTAAAATGTTGCTATAAATAGGGGATAACATGTAAACTGGTATTTACTGAGAACAAGACAGGGTAAAGCAGGCATAGGCAAACTCGGCCCTCCAGATGTTTTGGGACCACAACTCTCATCATCCCTGACCACTGGTCCTGTTAGCTAGGGATGATGGGAGTTGTAGTCCCAAAACATCTGGAGGGCTGGGGTAAAGGTTTATTTAAATTTAGATGCCACCTTTCCATTCATCAAAGCCCTTCCTGAGACTCACGTAAACAAAGCAAATGAGTTTGAAACACCATAGCCCCGTTGGATCAGACCAAATGTCCATCTGGTCCCCCATCTTGTTTGCTAGAGTGGCTGATCTGATGTCCTCATGATGCCTACAACATGGCATGAAGGTGTTGAGAAGCCATGAAAGAAGCAGGCAGGTAACACAAAAGAATTCTCCAAAGCTCTCCAGAACTGAGAACTCTTAATCACACCAATGGATTGCTATCACAGAAAAGACCTTGCTCTTCATAACCCTTCAACCTATTTTGAGAATGTCATGGTCTTGTGATACCTTTTTTTACATTCATCTAGTTTGTTGGAACGTGATCAACAAGGAGCAATGAGCGAGAGATCCATAAGGTTCTAGACCCTCAACAAATCACCATTGTGGCCCCCTCTTCATGCTATCTTCATCTTCTCTCCCAACAAGCCCTAATTACACTGTGGGTTGAGGACCAATTGATGTAAATCTGTTTTACTTACTGCTGGCCCAGTAAAAGGAATGTGATCACAGTTTTCCAGCCACGACTGGTTGAGGCTCTCTGCAAACTCTTGGAAGAAAGCATGGGACTGGTTGAAAATGGAAAAGGCCATGATGTTCACTCGATCATCCAGATGGCTCTCTAGCCGCTGGAGCGAAAACTCCTAAAGGAAATCAAAGAACCAAAACAGAGAGAGAGACAGCAGAATTAGGAAGTGTGAAAAGAGCAGTATGTTCTTCAGTAGTCCATAAGGGGAAGTGAAATGAGGGAATCTAAGGAACTGCAAAGGTTCCAAGGAGTTTGTGCCAAAATGTGATTTAATCAGCTTGAAAAAACATAGAATAATAGACTTGCAGAGTTGGAGGAGACAAGGGTCATCTTAGTCCAACCCCCTGTATTTGCAAGAATCCCTGACAGATATTCATCCAACCTCTGTTTAAAAATGCCCAGTGAAAGAGATTCCATCAGTCCATTCCATGGTTAAATAGCTCTTACAGTCAGAAAGTTATTCCTAAGGTTTTGTCAAAATTTCCTTTCTTGCCATTTGTATCTGTTGGTTCGGGTACTACCCCCTGGAGCAGTAGAAAAAAAATACTTCCTTCATCTTCCACATGACAACCCTTCAGATATCTGAAGGTGACTATTATATCACATCTCAGTCTTCTCTTCTCCAGACTAAACATATCCAGCTCCCTTAATTCGGGAGTGTTCAGTGGTATGTTCTCCTGCCATCCCTTCCAGCAGCCCGTTTGTGTGCTGGTCTGCCTGTGGAGCAGAGGGAGTCAAAAGTATGGGATGAAGGATTCTAGGCAGAGTGCAAGGGTTACGGCTGCTGCTTTCAGTAGGTGCCCCCTGGGTAAAGTAATTGGCTCCCCCACTGCAGGCAAACTAAGGCCATGGCAGTGGCATTGTGATGGTGACAGTGTGGACTAAACTCCAGCAGGGCTAGCAGAGGCACAACAGCAGGGGCGGGAGGCAGATCTGTCACTCGAGGCAAATTGCTTCATCTTGCCTCACTGATGGGAGGAAGTGATGGGCATGCATCTCTTATGTAGAAGAGAACTCCAAAATTGTACAGGAAAACTGGGAAGGTCCCTTCCCTTGAGCTCATTCAACTTGTACCGTCCAATATTTCTCTGATGCAAATAGGGATGTCCTATTCAATAATAATAATAATAATAATAATAATAATAATAATAATGATACCCTTCCATCTGACTAGGTTGCCTGAGCCAATTTGGGTGGCTTCCAACATATGTACTGAAGTATACCTGAAGGAGGGTCTCCACCTCCATCGTTCTGCCAGACACTGAGGTCCAGCACCAAGGGCCTTCTGGTGGTTCCCTCATCTCAGGAAGCAAAGTTACAGGGAACCAGGCAGAGGGCCTTCTCAGTAGCGGCGCCTGCCCTGTGGAACGCCCTCCCATCAGATGTCAAAGAAATAAACCACTTTCTGGCGTTTAGAAGACATCTGAAGGCAGCCCTGTTTAGGGACGCTTTTAATGACTGATGTTTCAATGTATTTTTAATCTCCTGTTGGAAGCCGCCCAGAGTGGCTGGGGAGACCCAGCCAGATTGGTGAGGTATAGGTAATAAATTATATTATTATCATTATCATTATTATTTATAATACTATCATATAAAAACATAAAACATTAATCATTAAAAAACTTCCCTATACAGGGCTGCCTTCAGATGTCTTCTAAAGGTTGTATAGTTATACAGTATATCTCATTGGCTTGGGGATCACATAACTCCATACCTTCCAACATTTCTTCTATGAAAATAGGGACGTCCTAAGGAAAAGAGGGACATTCCAGGATCAAACCAGAAATTGGGACAGCTTCTGTAGATTTGGGACTGTCCCTGGAAAATAGGGTCTGTTATCTTGGGGAAGCCTGTCCCTGCTCCCCACAAGTGAGAAGGCATCAGGCCCTCCGTTTAGGTGAGCAATTGCAGCCGTGAAGGAAATTCGTACCCTGAGTTCTGGATATGAATTTTGCCCACATAATCAGAAATACAATGCATTATTATAATATTCTCTCCCCCCCCCCCGACTATTCCTGTAACCGTTTTAGCTGATTCCACAGATCTTTGAGGCCTCGGGAAAAGTAGAGTAAAAGTCTGATTTCTCTGGCGCAGGAAGCTCCAGGGAGAACAAGATGAGACATGGGATTAAACCGTGTTTTGGACACAATCACATTATCATTAGGCGACACAAAAATTGCCTGTGCACTATTGATTCATTTGAATGATATTATCCTCCTGTCTCTGTGACGGGTTATCCATTTCCACGGAGTACATTGTCAACCTGTGAAACAAAGGGCAGATGGCTAATGAGAGTTGGAGCCAGAGGAGATTTCGTATGCAAAAGAGTGCGTGGCAAAAGTTTTGCTGAAGGAGAAGGAGGCCAGGCCCGCCCTTCCACAGCAGGGGTGGCAAACGACTGGCCTTAGGCCTCATCTGGCCTGCTGAATTTTCCTTAATGGCCTACCCATCTCCAGCACAGGCTTGCTTACATAAGTAATGAAATGGATGTAAAATGTGGAAAATTCCATCTCCCTGGTTCTTTAGTAATACAAAAAGTATTCAGAGCACTGTCTCACTCTCCCCTCCTCCTGGCCTTGCTGCCTATCTGACTATTCTTCAGATGCTCTTGATCTGTTGAAGGCCATAAGATCCTGGATCAGAGCTCTGGCTTTGGTAAATATGAATTTTTTTCAAACTGCTAGGTCATTTAGCTGAAAAAAGGTAGTTGGTGACATGTATTATGTATAAAAGCAACCACAACAAATGTTTGAATATATAAAGAAAAACCCTGTAAAGAAAATTTAAAGGAGAAAGAGTTAAGATCATCAGTATATCTAGTTATGGAGCTGTCTTGAGCCTGTTATATTAATACTGACCATTTGCCTCTATTTTTAATGCTTTGTTTTTAATTTATATTTTCAAGAAAGCTTAACAAACAACAATGTTACAATAGACACTGTTGATTTTAAAAGGCAACCTTCAAAATATCCAGCTTTTCTGGAAAAATGTAGCTCGATAACTCGATAACAGGGATAACTCGAACCCTCAAACACTATCAAGCCTCAGGTGTCTATAACTGAAAGAAAATGCCATCCTTGCAATGCGGAGCCAGAAGGATGAATCTTAACTTTCCCAGCCCAAGCTTCAAGCAAGCAGTAAGGATGCACATTAAATAAAAACCACATTTTGTGTGTGTGTGTGTGTGTGTGTGTGTGTGTTTTGATATGGCAGTGGCTATTTCCAAAGTGCTAGCCTGGCATTATTAAATAATAGAACAGAACCGCGTTCCCTGGGAGACAGCATGCCGGCAATATTACAGGCCAAAAGTCTCTCTTCAGTGACTGCTGTTATCTGTGGGGTGCCTGACCTAACACACTCAAATTTTACAGCATCAGGAAAACTCCTCCGAGTGACCTGAACCTTTGACTCGAGGAGAGAGTCTTCCCTAATCAAGGCAGCGTGGAGCAACTTGGCAAGACGTGGCTTCGGCAGTTGTGTTTGGAGTGCAGTGCCATCGCCCACAGCATGTTATGACTCAGCAATTGGCGAGAGATGTGTCTGACACTCTTTTAACATATACAAGTGAAGAATTGCAGCTTATCGCTCAGAGCTAAGATGTGGAACATGTACAGCGGCGAAGGGCCTGTTCCTGAACCATGCTGAGTTTTCACTGGTTCCAGCCAGATGTGGTTCACATCTGGGAATTGACTGCAGGACCCTTGGATAAAAAAAGCTAGGCAAGTGGAGGCTTATGCAGATTGCCATGTCCCAACAATGAGCAAATGCACTTTAGTGGAATCTACCTGTATTCTCTCCTGCCAACCTAGCAGTTCGAAAGCACGTCAAAGTGCAGGTAGATAATAGGTACTGCTCTGGTGGGAAGGTAAACGGCGTTTTCCGTGCGCTGCTCTGGTTCGCCAGAAGCGGCTTAGTCATGCTGGCCACATAACCCAGAAGCTGTATGCCGGCTCCCTTGGCCAATAAAGCGAGATGAGCGCCGCAACCCAAGAGTCGTCCGCGACTGGACCTAATGGTCAGGGGTCCCTTTACCTTTACCTGTATTCTCAAATTGGAGGTGGGTGGGTGCGTGGGCTTTCATTAGCAATGGGCTTCTGAATGTCAGGAAAGGCCAACTTTCCTTTGTTAGCATATGTGCATTAGCAAGAAAGCCCCTTTTTCATTCCTATCAATTCCACTGGCAAAATGACCCACATCACCTCCTGGTTGCAAACTCTCTTCTCCTTTGTGAGATTCTTATCATGGTTTTAATAGCCCAGATCACCTACAAAGCCAAGAGGCACTGAGAGCGAGTGTGCCAAGATTTTACTCATTTTGGTTTTTTGTGAGGTCAACTTCTTTCTCTCTCATCTTTACACACACACACACACACACACACACTTTCTTCTATTAATTATTTCAACAGCCTTATTGGATTTCAAGATCTGCTGCTGATTAAGAACATTCCAACTGTTCTCTAAATGCAGCTGGTGCTAATATAGGTAAAAGGTAAAGGTACCTCTGCCCGTACGGGCCAGTCTTGACAGACTCTGGGGTTGTGCGCCCATCTCACTCAAGAGGCCGGGGGCCAGCGCTGTCCGCAGACACTTCCGGGTCACGTGGCCAGCGTGACAAGCTGCATCTGGCGAGCCAGCGCAGCACACGGAACGCCGTTTACCTTCCCGCTAGTAAGCGGTCCCTATTTATCTACTTGCACCTGGGAGTGCTTTCGAACTGCTAGGTTGGCAGGCGCTGGGACCGAGCAACGGGAGCGCACCCCGCCGCGGGGATTCGAACCACCGACCTTTCGATCGGCAAGTCCTAGGTGCTGAGGCTTTAACCCACAGCGCCACCCGCGTGCCCGGTGCTAATATAGGAGAGTCTTATAATCTGATTTGGGGACTGATCAGGAAGTGGAGAAAGAAGATGCAAACAGATGCTGCCTCACACCACCAAGTTAATCTAGTACTCCAAAAGTTTATTTTTTAAAGGAACTGATTCCCATTTATCCTTTTACAAAACAACTACAGTGGTACCTCGGGTTACAGATGCTTCAGGTTACAGACACTTCAGGTTACTGGCTCCACTAACCCAGAAATAGTACCTCAGGTTAAGAACTTTGCTTCAGGATGAGAG